AGCGAATAAAAGGATTGTCACTTTCATGTGATGTTCGGGCGCTCAGCTGTGTACATCTAGTTTGATCATAGTATTTTTTTTTTTTTTTTTGTACTCAAAATTGACGTTTTTGATTATTATAGTGTATACCTGAAAAAGTTTTGATCATAAGTAAAAATGACTAGCATTACGTCATAGCTGTGTGAAAAATTCTTTTACGAATTGATACGATGGGACATCATTTAATAGTATCATATTGCAACAAGTTAAATTTTAGGGTAGAGTTATTGTGAAAAACCGATTGGTAATTATATGTCTTCCCTTAAAAATGTTAAGTTAAAAAAATTTAATAGCTTGCATTAAAACTTTTGGAAATTAACAATTCCAAAAAAATTTAAAATGCTTGTTTCCGCTAATATTAAAAAAAAGGTTTATCCCGTTTCCACCAATTTACCTGCTATAATATTATTATAATCAAAATATTGTGAAATAACCACAAATGAAGAAAAAAATTTTTTTTTTATTTAAGCACAACATTACTTGTATAAATCGTCACAGTTTGAATTTATAAAATATTAGATAATTTTAATTTGTTGATTTAGTTATTGTTATTTTTATAGAAATTATGTTAAACAAACAAAAAAAAATGTATGCTCCTATTAACTGTTACGAATAGTGACTTTTTGGTTTAAGTTATTATTATGTTTTTTTTTTAAATTAAACATTGTTATTTGTCATACAAACCAAGTAAAAAATATTTTAAGTTAAAATGTCAATATACTTTAAAAATTGTCTTATTTTTTTTTAATACAACATTGAAAATAATATTATGTACAAATATGTATTTTAATACTGATTATTTATCCACTTATATAACTTATATATGAACATTTAAATTCAAAATGTCTTCTAAAATTATGGAATATTAGTATGATAATTTTAGTTTTTGCCGAAGCAATTATTCAGGCGGAAACAAAAACAAACCCTTTTTAAAATTGGCAGAAAAGGTGAAAACGACAGTTTTTATTTTAAAGGTTAGTGAAAACAGTTCGTGCTCTTATTATTTTAAGCTTTTAACGTGAGTTTAAATTCTAATGATTTATTTAAAACAATGTTATTTGTGAAGATTATAATTGGTGATTTATCGTGGTCGTGTATAAGAATTTCTGTTTTATAGGAAATAAGTAGTGTTTTAGAAAAACAAGACATATATATTCATTAGAATGTGTACGAATTTGCTTCAATAATGTTCAGAACATTGTTTTTCAATTCATTGGTTTGAACTGTTCGTGGTCGACGATTACCAGTGAACAAAAAATCCCAAACACCTTAGTGCTGTTTAAACTATCCACTAGATAAAAAGTTCTACATTCAGGATCCAGGAATACGTCTATCAGGGAAAGTTTAGTTTTATAATATTGAAATATTAATTTTTGATAAATTCGTGTCTCGGACAATTGCGCTTTTGGGCAGTAGGCACCATTAAAAGTTATCTACAGAAGTTAAAGTTATAAAATATATTTGATAATATTTATTAGTTTGGTAGTTAAATTTAAAAATATGCAATTGTGATTGTTTATAATACTATTTATGTGTGAAACTAATTTTAATTTACTAAAAAATATTCTAGCTCTGAAATTTCTCAAATAATTATTAAAAACTTAAATCATATACTTAACGTAATACGAGCTGAAAATCATATACTAGTAGCTAATTTGTCAAGTGTTTACTTGAAAAAAATTTAATTCACATATTTCTTGATCAACTGTGTATTAGTGATAGTAAGATATTTACCGACGGCGAAGAAATACTTTTCAGTATTTCCAAACACAATAGGTGGATACATAAAAATAAATAAGTGATTGATTATACGGTTGGATTTATTGTAAGAGCTATTTTAAAGTCACTTCAATGTGAAGTATGTGCTAATGAACTGAGTGCCGGGGAAATAAATTCATTCCTTTTAGAAAAAAAAACAGAGGTGATCTTACAATGGCCAGTTAAGGTGTTGTAAAGCTCTGTCAAGTAGCAAGTTTTGTTGTTGTAGGAAAAAATGGGACACAGTTTAATAACATGACTATAGACAAGTTGACAGTAAAAACTTTTTGGGAGAGATAAATTTTGAACAATGTTTTGTAAATATATCTAGTCATTCTGTAGACCAGGAGGCATAAAATAATAATTTATTTAAACTCATAAAACTCATTATAAACAGTTTTTAAAAATGCAAATGAAATATAAAAACGAGTAGGGCAGTTTTACACACAACTTGTACACTTGAACACTTCCATCAACATGTAACATAATACACCTATATATTATGACCTAATTTAATGTACTAAAAACGTATACTCTTTTGATTTGAATAGGCTACCTACTAAATAATTTAAATAAACACACGAACAAGATTATATAAAAAAAAAAATCGCACATCAATAATATGAAGAGTGGTGAAAATGTGAATATTGTATTATTTTGCGATGAACCGCGATAATATTATTCCAAGGAGGCTTGCACCCTCTCTAAAATTTTTAGAATTTCTTACCTAGCTTTGTGTCACCCACACATGGATTTAACTATCCAGATCTCTCTTAGTCTCTATTTTATACGTGGAGTCCGAAAACTATCAGGTCGATGACTTAAATGTGTGTACCACTGTATATATAGATACATTAGGTACAAGGTTAACATAGATATTACCTATTTTTTTATATTTTTAAATACCTTATATCACGATAATCAAAAATTTCACTGACCATGATATGAGTAGTTAAAAACAAGGTTAGATTGGTTAAGTTAATTAAAAGGAATTTTAATCAATTTAAAAACACAACCAGACACAGGACTTATAACCCAATGCAATAAATGAACGATTGCAGTTTTTTTTCTTGTAAAGTTATATTTTATTTGAATTATTTAATAAATTTAATCATTATTATCATTGTATAACATATTCAATTTATGTGGCGTAGAACCTCCAGTTTAAATAACAAGTATCTGGGACATCGACCTTAATTTCGCTATTAGTAGTTTCGTCGGTAATTGATTAATTAGTCGGATCTTTGGATTTAACTTAATGTATATAATATATAACGGCTTAAAATAATCATTTAAATGTAAAATTTAATTCTCCTAATTAATATTTGTACTACGGTACTAAGTGTTAAACACTAAAATTGTTCCTTCAAATGATATAATACCACAGAGGGTTCTAAATGAGTACCACACTCATATGATAATATACTTGTCAAATAAACACAATACGTAGGTATTGCATATTTAACAACAAAATATCAGCTATACTTAACTTCCTCAATGAATCACCGCTTCCGATACATATGAACAACATACTTTTAAAGAAAATAACACTTTTCAAACATTTCAAACTAATGTTTAAAGTTTAAAATAACAACCAAAGTAAATGTTAAATTTCGGTAACTTTAAATCTTTATATGGTTGAATAGGTTACATTTGTGGCTTTTATCACTGCTATGGTCTATAGATACATATAATTATTAGTTTATATTTGTCTTGCTTTTATAATACAGTTACCTAATTATAGTATGTAGGACAATAAAGTCCGACATTAGTTTCCGGATAGTAATATCATATGTAACAACATTTTAATGGCATTACCGATCTTATTTGGGTAGGTCTGGAGTACGATCTACCATCACGTGTTATGCAAATATTGGGCATAGACATATATCTGTATAAAATAGGTTTATGTAATGAAAAAGTAAACCATTGGAGATTAATAATACCGGGTTTAAGTTGATTTGCTAAAGATTGTCATTACTGTGTATTATTTGCAGGTCTGTGCATTTTGAGTCACATGGCGTGCATCAAAAAATAAAATGATTTACAAATAAATGTGAATTATAAAAGATATATTTGAAACATTTTCTGCAAAATTAATTTTTCGCATGAAACTATCATATTAATACACCCCTATTACATACTTGTGGATGTACTATATGGCAAAACCACATTTTTTTCTACTAATGTGCAATAAAATCAACAAAAAACCATCATATCATCGTCTCAAATATTAAAATTAAAATTGTATATTAAGACTGCTTATATCTTGAACCAAATTTAATCGAAACCCTCCTACAGAATTCAAAACAAAATTCATCAAAATATTCAAAACCATGTTACAGACCTCGTTTCTACCTTCACATGTATGATAACTATTAATGAAGTTGATTAAATAGACATTGCTTACATTATATCATAATATAACAACATTACAATCTAAGGCGATGTTATCAAAAATGTGACAGTCGTCAATTTGGATCTTATATATTTTTATCCAGAAGAAAAATCCTTTACACAGATTAGCAGGGCGACTAAAATATTTTCATATCTTAATGAACCGTTTACACATTAATCAGAAATAAAATCATTGATTCACGTATAGTATTGATATGGTGGGCTCTATAGTTGTATGCACTAAAATTTAATAATGAAAGAGGAATGCGTAGATTAGATTCAACTAACCAAAGGCCGTGGACTCGCGATTCAATGTGTTACGAATAAATGTTCCATGCAGGGATGTGCGGCTATACATCAATGCGAGCGACGGTGTAAAAGGTAACTATAACTCGATATAGATAACGAAACTACGTGTAATAATATATCGCAACTCGCAAGACCACGACTTGCGTCATTATCAAATTATCACCAGGTGATTTCCAAGCTAGAGACTCGTCGTATAAATAGGACATAGGCAGAGGCGAATTTTCAGAATCAGGGCAAGCACCTTCACGTAGTCATCCAGCTCAGTTTTTCTAGCAGAAACACATGAGCAATTTGAACAGACGTTAATTACTACGGTTTAGTTTGCGTTGTATTGCAAAAACAATAGCGACTTTATAATTTCTATACCGTTCGTAAGCGAGAACACGTCCTGCAAGTGAGGTAACCACATTATAACACAGACAATACTACGGTATATGATCATATACCACGAGATAGTTTCGCACAAAAGTTGGTACAATAGAATATGCACGACTTACCACGAGATCGAGTCCGGTGCAGTCTGTAGTGGCGGTGGTCCGGCCGGACGGCAGCACAATGGACGTTGGCAACAGAGTTTCCTGGCACGTGTCGTTGCCATTGCACGTCCGCTCTGATCGGTAACCGCCGACGCGGCCCCGTCGTCCCTGTCCAACGTCCGCTCCGGCCGCACCGTAACCGGAACCGTTGCGCCAACAGGGCAACACCTGTTTGAACTCTTTTCGGAAGTTCTCGTTCAGCCACGCGTATAGGAACGGGTTATAGCACGTGGAGCTCATGGCCACGGCGTGGGCGGAGAAGAAGAACAGGTAGTAGTGTTTCCACGTGGCAGTCTGCAGATAGAAATCGTTCAGCAGGTTGATGGCGGTCAGCGGAAGCCAAGACACGCCGAATATTGTCACCATGGCTATCAACATCCTGCGAAAAAATCGAAAAAATCAGTCATAACCAAACGTCTCGTCCTGCAAAACCGATGACGATTTCGACGGAATAAATATAGAAATCTGTGTCCTGATCCTCTCACAAATTTCTTTTTCGATTATATCAAAAGCAGAGAGATTAATCATTCGGTCTAATAATTCTGGAAATGACCATTTGTCATGTGTAGTGTGTGCATCGACTGTGGTAATAATTCTACTAAGAAATAACTACATCTCAAACGAGTACTCTCATATTGACAATCTATACGCATATGTATTTATTTAATGTATATAATATCATAGGTTAGGTTAGAAAATATTTTAAATGACAGATAATTCTTTAACGAGAACAGAAATAAGGAAAAGTTTTAAAAAAACGCAGTGTTTATGCGCTTTTGTATTCAATTTTGCTTACTGTTTTCTATGAGTTATATTTCAATAAGTATAAATATTTTGATTAAAAAAAAATGTATTTAGGTACACTATTTACAGACAGCTATCTATTTATTTTCTAATTTCTTAATTAATTATAATATGAATTAACTATAATTATTGAAAAACGAAAATGTTGTTCTACCTAATAATTTTTTATTCCGAAAATTCTTTAATCGGACTCTATAAAGAGCAGTGGTCGTTTGGGAAAATGTAATGATTTTGATTAAGAAAACTGAAATTATATTTAGCTGCGTAGGGTAAAAACCTATTGCCATTGATGCAAACATGTTTAAAAATAAGGTTCATTATTAATTACTTCCTTTATGTACATCATCGTATATGTTTTTGTTTTAGTAAATGCAAAATATCTATTAATGTTGATTTCATATTTCAATACCACAATAAAAATATTTGTATTTTTTTTAAATATAAGTTTATTATTAACTTTTTATTATGTATTTTTTATGTGACTTTAAATCAAACCTATTTCTACTTATTCACCCAAACAATATTTTTTGGAATAAACAATCACCCAATCATATTTATAACAATTCGTCCAAACAGACCAAATTTTGGGTTGAATCGCCCAAACGGGCCATTTCTTTTTCTGATGTTTGCCGACTAGGCTCTTTTATTTAAATCCTTATTTGCTGCTAAGTCCAACCTTAATAATATATAGGTACACTCCTGACAAGGCAATTTGCACCACATAAAAATTTATCCCGTTAGAATCGTGAATTTGTTGGATCCATTTATCCTATATCCGACTACCCTTCAGAATATTTATACATCGGAAAGATTGTAAGGGTAAATTTTCAGGAAGACATACTATTTTAGGATATATACAGCAGTACATAATTTGGCCATCATTTTAATATTTTTTTGTAATACATCAGTTGCAGATCATTCGATTTTTGGCTTAGACATTGTTTACAAAGTTTCGTCGTTTATATTACGTAAAATATTGCTTTACATACATAATTTGCATATCGGGATTTTAACATTAGAACTGGAAGATAATATGAGTACTCTAAATCGTGTGTTGCTTCAATTTTCAAATATTACTCGTGTGTTGGCATTTCCATCGCAATGTATGACTATTATAACTATTATTTGAAATATAATTGAACAAGCAAATGTGTTTTTAATTATGTATGTATATACTTATAATCGTGTGTTTATTATAAGTTACAATAGTACTTATCGAATGTTCGATTTAACTGGAAAGTCCTTTTAATTGTGCAATATATGACTTAGATTATGTAATTTTCAATATTTTTGATACCCTTCTATTGTTCGATGTGCCGATACCCAAACAAATAAACGGTGTACGATATTTCGGCCTAAGTAAACAGGCGATACGCAAACGATGACCTGCGATGTTAAATAGGTCTCATCGGTTTGGGTCGGGTTAGGTTGATTGGTCGGTATATTATACTTTTACTAGACGCGGTTTTTTTTCCCCGGTTACGATTAACATAATATAATAAACACACATATATGCATACGCTCTTAAACAATAAAATATGTTCATTGTGCATAGCTGCGTGCATAATAATAATATGTAAGCAAATATTAATAGAGGGTTGTCCCTTTTCGAGTACGATCTCGTGTCCGACACTCGTTGACCGTAAAATTGTTCACACGTCTCGACGACGTGGTCGGCGATAACTTCTAGACCAATGCAACGAACACATACGCATTATAATAAATTATAATAAGTCCATACTAAACGTAACTCTTGGTTTTGGAGAAATATCAATACCGTCGGAATAAATTTAACCTATTTTAACCAAATAGTGTAATAATAATGTAATACCGATTTCCTGCAATACTGGATTCGATGGTTCATATATTATTATAGTACAGTGACCCCCCCCCCACCTCCAAACCCTTAAAAGTTAAAGTACATCTCTAAATAGAGGAAGCTTTTTTCAGGGACCTATTACTGTTTTTTTACAATTTGAACCCTCGGAATATCAAACTTTCGAATAGTGGATCAACATTTCAGTGACAGAAAGTGTCCGGTATTTAGATTTTGCACTGTATTTGTTATATGCTTCGTTTAAAAGACTAACATCAAATAACAATGTACAGAATAAACACTATTGTAGCATTTCGATAATATCTTAAAATTATTGCTTTTATCTTGTGTTTGTGGAGATTATTCGTTCAAATTGTATTCAATTAATTTCTTTTTATTTAAATAACATTTCCATAAATAATACATGGTTTTACAAGAATACATTGTCATACTTAAATCTTCTCCTCCTCTATATATATATTTACATAAAATTCAAATACTAATCACTATTACTTTTTTTGTCATAAAAGACAAAACATATGAACTTAAAATTTAAAAATGCTCGAGTTATGCAATACGAAAGGATTTAAAAAAAATTCACATTTAAAAGATGAAATCCTTTGGAAATTCGTTTTCGGTAAACGGAAAACAAATATAAATTTATGGCTGATATTGGTTATAGAAAATAAAATAGTTATTATGATTGGATATAATTTTAAACCTGTATTTTATATTTCAATAAAACAATCCAAATAACTGTGTTAAGAATCTGTGCAGCTTACATTTAACAGATTTTTAGATGGGATAAAGCCTCGAGCATTTAATTTGTCACCAGCAACGTCGTGTAGGATCAGCTAGTATAATATAATGTTATGAATAAAATATAAAATTTTCTATTATAAGATATTAAAAAATATTAAAAACGTTTAAGTACACCCCACTTGGGGTTGAATCAATATATATTATTTGCGACGTACAATAACAATATCTTATTCAAATATATTTTTTAATAATAGTTAGGTGTAAATTTATGACCAATTATCAACTATGTTAAATAATTTAAATGAAATTTTCTTTACCACTATGTAGTGTTTTATATTATTATTCGATTCAAAATGTGAACACATTGATATATTTTAACTTATTCGTTTTAAGGAAAGTTTTTGTGATTTTATACACATGAATAATCGATTTTTTTCGTTACAAATATATTTTACAAATATATACATTATTAAGATTGTGCATACTACAATAAAGACAGCAATAGAAATACAATTTACTGTTTTAGTGCTTCGAATGGGGCAAATTTTCATTCACGGATTTTGAACATCAGTTTCACTATATGTACTAATTGAATCATTAATTTTCTCAATGTTTCAATTATAATGTCTTATCCAATTATAGATAGAAAACATTGAGCCAAAAAGGGTATTTTTGGTAGTTTAAGTCAATGTGGTTATAATATTATGTTCGTAACTTGATCAAATTATCCATGGAATGAAAATGATGGTACCTCAGAGATTATAGTTTCTTCTTTCCGACAGCGCTATACTATTAGCCCACTTTGGAATAAAGTTTAGAAATTCTTTGTTTGTATTTGTGGCCGCCAAACAAACTACACACCACCACGAGATAAAATTAAAAACAGAAGAGAACAAGAAATGTAATCAATAAACATGCTTATAATATATCGTTGGACACACGTGATTCATTAAATCATTATTTTTATTTGGATGATATATATTTTAATGTATAATATTTCAATAATGAAATTATAAGACGGCGCTTTGTATAGGCAAAATAGGTACATTGTCACACATCACTCTCTTAGATATTTTCTTTTTACCCAACAGTTTAGTTTCCATGTGAGCATATACTTTTATTGGAATTTTTATAATTTTTTACAACTGACGATGTGTAAATATATACATTTATATATATGTAAATGTAATATGTGTGCGTATAGTGTTGTTCCTTTGAAAACACAACACACAATCGTAATAATTGTATTTACTTTAAACTATGGACTGTTTGGATTGATTAATTGCTCTAAATGTGTTTGTTTTGTAGTTGTTGTTTAAACTGTGAACCGATTGTTGTTTTAGGCTTTTTTTTTCCAAATAAAAATAACATTAATTGTTCTGTCGTAGTAATATACTGTCACAGGCACCCGCTGTCGCCAAAGAAGTTCAGAGTGCGCATTGCAATAAAGACGTTACTAATATATTAACAATTCTACGACAAGATAAACTTTGCGTTGAATAAGATATATATAAAAAAAAATTGATACGGCCAAAAGTGTAAACATTTTGTAATCGTACACAGGTTTAAGTGACCCGAAAAGATTTGCTTGCATGCGGTGTGTGATCGAATGAGTGGAAATAGCATTGAACATGAAAATAGTACTGAAGTTAAAATATAATATTTAATATTATGCATGATAATAATGGTCTAACGACTAGTTTTGTAACGGCGACGACGAACGTACAACTTGGTAGGCTGAATTTATGATTAGTGTGCCCGACAACGAGGAGCCAGACGCATAAGCAATGTTAAATGCCACGCCTGAATATTATTTTAAAATTCATGTGAGCCCCATCAACGATGTGATTACGGTGTACTGCGTTAATACTTAATAGTTGAAATATCAATTTTCCCTATCAATAATCACTACGGTTAGATTATACTAAGAATAGGTAAACAGTTTTTAATGAATAACGTTTTCCTGTGTTTTCATTTGGGATGTGTTGTATAATATG